GGTGAATCTCCAGTTCGCACAGCGCGAGATGGGATATTTACAACGTAAAAATCTACCGCGAATAGTAGTTGGCCAACCCGTCGAAATTCAAGAGGCCGACCCAGTTTCCAGGCACGGAGGTATTCGTAGATCGAAATGTCGTGGTCGATCCCGGCGATTTTGCAAATGCATAAACGCGGTATGCCTCATAGAAAGGTAACGATATAAATCGACGGAAAAGAAGTTCGCCCCTCTGGAACGTACATTCGAATGAAAGTAGCGCATATTTCTATGCAATACTGCGAGGTATAAACGTATTTTTTTTTACAACGCTCTTACGCTCTATGTTGCAGCATATAACGACTTCTTTTTTTCTCTATCTTTAAAAAAATGTTTTTAGATTTTAGTAGAAATTATGTAGCGTATACGTGTTATTTTGAGTTATAATGTAAATTTAATATTGAATAAAATAATACCTATCAAAATTAATAATAATTCATCTATTAATTAACAATATTTATCAGTGTAGGTAGAAATAATTTTTTTACAAATTAATAAATATTTTATAACCTTTTTGCTAAATCCTATTTAAGTTATTTACGTAAGCTTAATAAACGAAAAAGAATGATGTTGACTATATGTGTGTGGCGTGTAGGTGTCTTGGAGCCTTGTGTCCTAGAATCTAAATAAATCTTCCGTCTGATTGATCGCTATTATTTTATTGTGCTTATCGTTGTGGATCGAGATAATCGCGGTAATCAAGTAACAGGCAACGGCGATGATTCCACACGAGGCGAAAGTAATAGCCGGTCTGGCCATTTATTAACTAACAGTAACAAACACGGCACATTCGTTCATATAACGCCACATCGATGCGACGATGACGTAATAATAATCGCGACAAAAGCGGCAACGGCGATGATTACCGCGCGCGCACGCCGTGGCAATAATAATTTCTAATAAGAACATAATCGCGCGCGTGCAAGAGCAGTTACAAGCATCGGAATGATAATGGCGCATAATTGCTCTGTGTCCCGTAGAAACCGACCCGGCCATGTACGGGCCACCGTAATGAATATAATTGTGAGGATCGTCGCGAGGTGCAAGAAGTAATTTGCACGAACCTGTCGGCCGCTACTATTAGGACCGGAATTACGTTATTCCTCGCCACGTGGGAGAATATTAGAATCCTAATCTAAATCCCTTTCGATAAGATTACTGACAGAGAAAGGAAATGAATCGAAATAATTAATAATCGTATAATGATAATTATATTCAAGTTGTTATCGCAAATGAATTTAATAAATTTAGAAAAAAAGAGTAATTCTTATACCTATATGACATTTATAAATACCTACGATCGAGTAAATATCTATTAAATATCTATTAAATATCTAGTAAATATTTATTTTCCGCTTGAAGCAAAAGACGCATTGGGATCGCTGTTTGAGAATTGAAATCAATGTTTACATTCTGGCCGATCCTGGACAATGCAGCAACGTCCAGTGCCACTTTACGAAGGCGCACGTATGTACCGACCTATCACGGTGCAACGGAGATAATGCCGAATGTAATTCCGCGCGTTCCGAAGCGTACACGCGAATAATTCTCGGCCAGTCTCGCGCGATATAACGGTGATGACGACGGCGAGATCTATCCCGAACGCGCGTAACGTTCGCTGCACAGTCGCTGCGATAATTACACCGATCTCAGAGAAATCGGTTTTAAGGGCATTCGTGTAATTCCTAAATTGCTGCATTCGTAAAACGATAGCTTTCCGAATACGGCGTGCATCGAGCAATTACGAGCATGCAGCGGTAAATTGTACTAGAAAGCATGTAGAAAGGAGAGAGAGAGAGAGAGAGGAGAGGAAGATTGTGAATTTCTCTCTTTCTCTTAACGTAATATTCTCATATATGTGGCAGGGTATGTAATATTAGATTCCGACCGTTTACTTAATCCGATACGTCTTTACCGAGGATACCGAATTTCACGAGGAATATACGGTATGCGTTGTAAAGCACGATGGTGTATATTTTCTGATAAATTTCACTAACAATATTTTTATAATTGATTACTTAAATTTTCTTGTCAAAAAGAATGTGTGTGTGTGTATATATATATGTATATATATATATATATATATATATCAGGTGATTGCATAAGTTCGTGCCCGATTTAAATATAAACTTCAATAGATTATATTTTAGAGATACGATCATCTCTCCGAGAAGCATTGCTTTCAGATAGATTCGGATGAGTAAGCAAAAATTGCGTCATATGCATTAAATATTATATTCGTAGGAGATAAAATTTCAATCTTAGTAACTGAGTTTAGAATTAATACAAGCCTATAATAATACAATCACCGATCGTGCGAGAAAGGATATTACATATATATATATATATATATATAATTGTTAATAATTGTCTGCTACTTATATTAATTATATATATGATAAAAAACATAATTGTGACTTTTACATCTTCATAATAAATTATTTTTCAACAAAAATTCACTCTTTATTCTAACTTAAAACCTTTGGTTAATTTTACCTTGATTAAAATAATAATACTGCATTTTTTCGAAAGATTACATACAATGTATCTCTGTAGTTAAATTTTTAATTCTATGAAAAGATCGTCTCTATTTTCTCAGAAAATGCATTTCTACTGTTGATTGCCGCATGTGATACACTTTATAGGTGCGATTTGTTAGTGGGAATTATTGCGAGAGCATTTTAGAAGATTGTAATTTACTCAGAATTTAATGGCCCGCTCTTTGGAATAAAGCGTAATATTTTCAGATAAAAGCCGACCATTCTCTAATTTATTCGCCATTTTTAGCGTGTGTCTCTAAATATTGACAAATCAGAAGCAATTATTACACATGATAGTTGCATTATAAACGCTCGTATTAATTACGATTATCGTGTAATTATTTCAAATCAAAACGAACAAGCCTGTATTACAGAAAAGTATAAGAATGCAAATTCAATTATTTGACATATTTAAATTATTGTGAATTCTTGTAAATTTCAATTTTCTAAAATAAGAAAAAAAATGGAATAAAACACACACATATTAGTAATAAAACCCAATCAAACTTATCACTAAAGAACTAGACAAATATACCATACGTATCTGCATACGCAAACGGTATAACTAATCAGCGACCGTCGTAAGTATAATGGGCCCCCTCGTAAATAATGAATAGCGTAAACCGTAGTGAAATGATTTATCGCGTCCAACGCGAGCCGACAATGGCTTCCTTTTGGACGGCAGCACCGACCAAACAGCCGTTTGTACCTCTCTCCGTGCCGGTGTATGTGTGCGTGCGCGCTTTCTCTCTCTCTTTCACCCTTCCAGCTACCACGACCGCTGCCGTCGTGCCGGTGTCGCGCAATAAATCTGTCCAGATGGTGCGGTATATAGCCGTCGGCGGCTGGGATGCAGCGCGACGCAACACGGACGCTCCGGGGCTGCGAGACTCGTCGTCGGCGTTGACCGATGGTCAAGATACCCTCCCGTCGCCTAGACGGAGTACGTTAAGGCGAATTTACGCGATTCGTCGCGAATGATCGCGTCGCCCTTCGAAAACTTGGGATAAAGATGATCAAGCGCGTGTGTAAGAGATGCACGCGTAGGGTTTTTCTGATTCTTTACAGGGTGTCTACTCCAATCTTGTAAAAATATTCCCCCGTGAATTCCCTGATTTTCTAGGTATTTTTGTTCAAAATTCCAGGTAAAGAGAATATTTTAATGATTTTTGGTGCAATTTTCTAAAATAGTTTTTTTTTTTTTTATTGTACGAATTTTCTAATGTTTTTCACTCATATGAAGAAAGAGAGAATTTAAAAAAAAGATTCCCTGAGTTCCAATAAAATTCCATAAGAATTTCTCGATTTCTCTAGGTATAGAAAAATTCTCTGAGAATTCCAGGTTTTCCATATTTTTCCAGGGAGTAGACACCCTGCTTTAATAAATTTAATTATTATATTACAAGCATCTTTTTCTTAGAAGATAACATATGATTTAGATGATATAAGATTTTAAAAATACTGATAATTATAAAAACAAAATCCATTACTTTTGTTACATATTGTATATCTTTGATGATTCTTTATGGAAAACCTTGAAAGTATCAAGATTAATTTAAAAAAAGCTTGTATTTGACGCAAGTACCTTTATCGTCATTTTCACAGAAACGATCGAACCAACGATATTGACAAGAGTATAAAACTAATAATACTTTTTATTGCGCATAAAGGGTGTTTCATTTCGAACGTACTCGTGGGAACGATCTTGCTAATTCAACGGAGCGAAAGGAGCGTATGATGACTTCAAGTACAAACATAAATGCGAGGCGTAAATGCGATTCGGCGTCGAGCTTAAGTAACGATCCAAGTAACGGCGAAGTTTCATATCGTGAAGAAGAAGGTGGCCTTTAGTGCGTCAATTTATTACGCCGACCGGCGTAAAAACGCAATTTGTTTTACGGCGTACGCATACATTCGCCATATGTATATTTTGACTCAACGTGCGCGACTGTCACAGCGGTACATTAGTCACTATCAGCCGTAGTTTCTCCATAGATCATCTCGCGTTTGCCCGTTATCTCCCAGTGACACGTGCGCGTGTGTACACGTTGTAATAATAAACACTACGCATTGATTTAGCGCGCACGATTCGCGCATTCTAATAAGCGCCGATGACGTGAAACGCTCGAGCGTTAATGAAAGGTTTACATCACGCGTTATATTATGATTGCAAAGGAGAAACTAAGTGCGTCTAGATCTACTATTGAGATTTCTGTAAAAGGGAAGGTCGTTCTGCAACGTGATGTAATTACAAAGGAATTAATTCATCGTGTGAAAAATCACGCGTGGGAAAATCACGTGGAATTTCATTCCCGTATCTGATAAACATACTTGTTATAAATTATTATTAATAGATTAGCGAGCAAAGAATATATATTATTAATTTTCTTCGCGATGTAAAAATGAAGATCTATCACTTACATGTTGGTCTCGTCCTGTTGGGCCTTGTCAACGGAATCCACGGTCTTTGGGGCGGATGGTTTGCTGTAACTGCAAAATACGAATAAATGAATGATTTAACAACTTTCTCTTTGCACAAAACTTTCTAAATTTTAAACTATGTAAACGTTCAGCTTTATATAAGTTTATATATTCTCATATTTCACTATCTAATTTATCTGGAAAATTTACATATGTCTTATTCTAAGTTTTTACAAAATTCTCTCAAAAAATGTGACCTTTGAACTTATGCTCCTCCATTTCTCGAATAAAATAATATTACATCCAAGAATAGCCTAATCATACAAGGATGCCCTTAATCAGACGGCGTCGCTGAAGCGAGACAGCGAAGATCGCGATGTGACCGCGGTTATTATAATTGCCAAAGCGAGACGAGGGTGCGAGGAGGAAGATCGCGCGTTCATTAAACTAGTTCATTACACCTGCGTCGTCTAATGGCGCTCTTACGGGAAGCCATGCGCGCGGTCCGATAATTAAATCGTTCAACCAAATGTCACTTGCACGAGCCCTCCGGGCTATTAACGGGGTATAGGGCCAAGAAGTACGCGCGCGTGAAACGCGAGGAAAGAAAACGCGCCGCGTCGCATCGTCTGCACGTGACAGGTAGATTATACAGCGGGGTGTCCTCGTGGCTTCGTTTGGCCACTTATCTTCGAGACTAATGGAAGATAACCACGGAAGAAGCGCCGAATTCATCAAACGTTATTATACTCTGGCGGAAGAACGTCGCTACAAAAATGACGAGACATGGCGATATAATATATTTTAATATCAAAAGACGCCGCGAGGGTTTTTCGGAGCGGAACGAGTTACTCTGACATCGATAATTTTGTCGTCCCTCTTTGTCAGCGAGTCAGTTTTTAACGACAAACTATTTTTGCGCGACATGCACCGCGAATGAGGAAGAGATACGTGATATTGCGGTCTTCCGGTCGACGGTCATGCGGTTAAGAATCCTGTCTTAGCCTTTAGCGCGGTTAGCATAAGAGTGCCGAGGTTGTGCAAAAAATGCTCTACAAAATTTCCGCGAATAAAACTTCGCGTTACTTTCGTTATCGATCTTTGAATCGATATTTCTGCAATGACGATACTTATTGCGCTCTCTCCTTCTCGTCACGATCCTTGGCGTGGAATAGTAAAGGACACGTGTTAGGCCGAGGTTTAATAATAAGAGAAATAGGTCAATATGTCGGACGTTTATGTTCGGCATTCAAGAGATGCCCTCTGAAATATCCTCCAAGTTTCAAGAATAATCTCGTTGTTTCAAGACTCTACGGGAGAGTTATTTACGGCACGGGGGAAGTTTCGCAATCTATTCGGTGGTCGCGCACGAATCTTCCCGAGAGGCGAGAGATCTCTCGCCGATATTTCACCGAAGATCCGCTCGCAAATAACTTTCGCGGTTTTCTATCTTTTTTCCATTAAAATGGAATTATCTACCGATACAGTTGCCGTCGTATTGTTAATAATATTCAAAATAAATATACATACATTTTTCAAATAAAAACAAGTCGATAATAAAATAAGAGGAAAATAAATATAGAACAAGAGATACAATAAATAAGAAAAAAATAAACATCAAGAAACACGGTAGTGTTTCGCGCCCAAGTCACGCGAAGCAAAGATCGCGCGCAGTAGTAATAACATGAGAATATAAATACGACAAAAAGAAAGACGTCTATAATGTGTGTATGTGTGGTATATATATATATATATGTGTATATGAGGACATGTAGAATACATGTAATGTATGCCATGATGTGTTGCATATATAATAATGTAATAACATGTTTTCCGAATGCAGCGAGGCGTGCGCAATTTGCAGTCACTTTCCGCTGATTATCATCATTAAGTTGCCGTATTATCTCGCGTGTGCGCGTGGATGATCAGTTCAATCGCGCCGCACCGTCTATCGAGATTAATCCGACGCTTTTCGAAGCTCGTAACACGTCGCGTTACAATCATGCGTGCCAATCACAGCGCTGCTGCCGCGGGCACGAAGGGATTAATCGAACGGGAATAACTCGCGCGATGGCGTTGAATGCGCGCAAAAACAACAAATCGAACGTTCCCGTCATTCTCGCCAAAGCTTCTATAAAGCTATCAATCGAAGCTGGGAATTCTCGAGCGTTGTCAAATGTCAATAAAACGTTTACCTTTAAGCTTCAATTACTGGAGTGAACTAAGTCAGATCTCAAAGATCTCTATTTGTTAGAGGAAAAAAGAAAGAATTTATGTTTATTTTTTACTGTTTCTTCAATATTTTCATAATTTCATGTCTGACTATTTCCTTTTTTATTCATTATGGTAGATTGCACTTTTTTGGAATCGATATTACTGTATTTAACACTTCGGGAGAGAAGAGCGT